TGATACGTAAAAATCAAATTTTGGACGAGTAGTTTATGAGTTATTAAATACTTATAACTCATAAAAGTAAAAAACTTAAAAAATTATAAGGATAAAAAATATTAAAAAACATAATTTTTTAATAAAATGTTGTTTTTTTAACAACATGAAACTCTGTAAAAAAATATTTTCAAAAACATTGATACTTTTTGAAATAAGGAGTGTTCAATGATAAAAGAATCACCCGGGATATTTTGCTAAATATTAACGGAAATGTTATTCCGAGTCAATTTTAAGTTCAATTCGAACTTTCTATAATATTTGGTACGATAACTATAAATAAGTRGAAATGTGCGAATATGAGTACCCCACTCGTAATCGAAAAATTGACATTAAAAACCAAATGAAAAAAGTTTGTACAATTTTCGATGTCTGCGCACATCAAACTACTCAATATGTATGATAATATTATATTGCATTCGAAATAAAAAAAAACTAACTATAACTTATGAGGTTTATTAAAAATGGGTCATATATCGATTTAGAGTGATGGCCTTATGATATAAGATATACATAGGTACATACAACAGTTAGGATGACCCTATGTGTTCCTTTTTTTTTTTTTTTGATCACATTTTTTGCTTGTATATTGAAAAACTACGAACGAGGTGCTTTTATTGTTGTCTACATAAAGAAAGATTATGAAAAACCAAGTAATGCGTTAAAAATGTTTAGCAACGGATAAAGTATTTTATTTTCGAATAGAGAGGATCATGATCCCCATGGCCAAAACGTATCGCCAAAAAGGCGGAAGTATCTCAGTATTATCGCAGCGATACCCGGTATACGGTTATTGAGTTATTCTATACGACGGCGCTCACCTTCTTGGCCGGCTCCGTCCAGCTCGACGGTCCTGGTGGACATGAGCCTGTCAATGCGGTTGGCCAGCATGTCGTTCAGCAGGACGTTCTTGCTGTCAGCGTCCGGAGCGGCGTCCAGGGCAGCGCGATCTGCCAGGTCAGCCTGCGGATCGACGTCCAGTGACTTTCCAGCCCTGAAGGCCAACGTCACGCCGTCCACTGAGGTCAGGGCTGGCTTTCCTGGTGCCCGGTCATGGGCCGTCAACGCTTTGGACTTGAGACACACTGTGACCGAATCGACGTCGCCGTAACAGTCGTCTAACACCGACCACAGGACCGCGCCCAATCCCATCGAACCCACGTCGTCCTCTTGCCGCTGTTGAGGTATTTGTTGTTGTTGTTGTCCCGGTGGTGACTCGGAAGCGGCTATACCGATAACGGCCGAAGCGATAACGCATACCAACGACAGCGCAAACACGTAAATCGATGACATATTAGACATATTTGAGTAGGTAATATTATTTMGATAATAATAGTTGTGATGTTGTTTAGCGACGGTTGGTGTTATGTCAGGTTACCGCGTGGTATACGGTCGATGTGACCGGTAACACTTCAGCAGGTCGATTCGGTGTCGGCACCTAGGTATGTAGTACGGTTGTCTTGTTGCGGTAGACGCGGCCGTCGTCATCGGTGGTGGTGTGGATGTRATGGTACCGAAGTGATCGTCGGGAGATTATATACGACGCGGCCGCGACCAGAGCACCGTGAAAATAATAATGTTACGACGAGTTTCACCGGCGGCGGCGGTCATTTTTCCAGCCCCCTCCGTCCGTAAAATATTAAWTATTATTGTTACAAAAGTTGTCATAGTCAGTCAACATCATCATTATTATTTTATTATTATTATTATTTTTATATGATTATTCTTATTATTATAATTTATTATAATAAATTATTATTATAGTATATGATACAATATGTATATTATTCCAGTGCCATCCATTTGACGCGCTACGTTCGTTTTGTCGGTGAATTATTCGTCTGCATTTTTAATTGCTTTTCGTTTTTTTTTTCTAATTTATCTTTCATTGCTGCTGTTCATCTGCAAACCACGGCTAGACTACAATAGGTATATAATAACCGCATTTTGATTCATATTTATTTTTTTACCTACGTGATTTCCTGAAAAAGATGAATACCGATGTTAAAGTCCTAGAATTTATTCTTTTGATACGAAGGTTCATGCCATCAAAAAGGTAAAAAACAAAAGATCTCAGCCCTACTCTCGTCCCAAAAATCATTTATTTGAGTGCCTTTCGTTAATATATTATGAATATACCACGATTTACACCTGAGTTCTTGGCATTCTTGCATAGTACCTATATATGTACTAACCACTGAATATCATAATATTTATAATATGCCATCATCATATGGTATATGATCACATATTATTATGCGTATACTTATGTCACAGATATTATATGAATTATAAATAAATATAGACAAACACTGGTCATTATGATTAAGCTAAATAAATATTGTAGAAATTAATTATTATTAATATTGAAATAAGTTCAAGAATTTTACATGTAATATAAAGGGTTTATTATTTTGTCAACTTTAACTTCAGTATTAATTTATAAAATACAAAAAAAAAGTACTTTGAAAGTATTTGAAATATTACAAAGTATACTTAACAAGACTTGTGGAGTTAACGAGTATAACTGATTGAAATATTTGTATTGCGGTAGGTACAGTAAACTAATAAAATAAAATACAAACAATCTATTTCACACTCGAACGTATAGTCAACAATATAAATGTATAACATAACTATGTAGTTAATAAAAAGTTAGGTTAGGTTAGGTTAGGTTACTTACTGGAATACTAGTAGAAGCTTGAATGAATCCCCCCATGGGATCCGCCATGATATGGCGAGAGGGGGGGGGGCTTGCGGGCTCTTAATTGAGTCTTACTAAGCGATCCCGGTCAAAGTTAGACCAAACCCAAGAGTCTTACCTTAACTGGTCGGACAGGTCTGGACTACCTGCAAGCGCCTGCAAACGGACACAGGTGAAGGTAACACCGATAACAAATCCCCTGGCAGTAGGTAAAATGCAAGTGAAGGAAATCACTCTAAAAACCCAATATGAACGGTAAAAACMGGAATATTGTTACCACCCCARGGGCCTCGAAACCCCAGGGGTCGGCTGTAGTGGGTGGATTCGGATTTTACACCGGATCCAACGTAGCGGGCCTACTACGGTCGTTATCAAACGACTGTGAGGGTACGGGGGAGGCCAGCTTAGCCCCCGCAACTCAAAATGCTACTAGCGCTGAGACAGTCGTGTTCCAAAAGGGCACACACCAACCCTCTGCTAGTGGTAGCACCCCACAAACACATATATGCAATATATGATATGTTGATCTAGAAAAGGCCTACGACAGAGTTCCTAGTGAGGTTTTGAAATGGGCATTGATGAAGAAAGAGATGACAAATACGTATGTAAATATAATCGAAGAAGCGATTGAAGGAATGAACACAAAGGTTAAAAGCCYTGTTGTTGAAACTTAGGAGTTTGGGATTGGAGTTGGAGTGCACCAAGGTTCTTGAGTCTTTACTTGTTTTTTTTAGTAATAGACGAAATTACAAAAAATATACAAGGTGAGGTACCATGGGCATGTTATTTTCGAATGATGTAGTGTTGGTTAGGGAGACTCTGGAGGAGGTGAACTATAGACTGGAGGAATGGAGGGAAGCACTTAAGAGTAAATGGTTACAATTAGTGTAAAGTTTATGTAAATCTGTGTATATAGAGTTTAATTTTCAWCTTGGAGATAGAYTCCAAAGAGTAAATCATAATAGGCATGTAGTGAATATGGTGGGCGAGATAGTAGATGAATTTGATAGTTTCAAGTACTTAGGATCCAAAYTACAAAAGAATGGTGGTTTTAACAAAGATATTATGCATAGGATGGATGAAGGGGACTGGGTAAATTGAGTCCGAGATAAGTTTGGTACATTTTGAAAGCGGTWAATTGAGYCSYGGGGAAAAATAGGTAGTAGGTAAGTTGAGTCCCGGAAAAAATAAGGCAGTAGGTAATTTGAGTCCCAGAGAAAAACGATTTATATGCATTTAAAAT